TTTGAAATAATATCTTTCTGGTGGACCAAACTTTGACCAAATCAACTGAACCCTAATGACATTAGCTGCAAACATTTCATTTGTAAACGAAAGGGACCATTTTCCTTAATTTGTTTTATTTCTTTCCCCAAAGTTCTAGTTCACCAAGTATCTTGATGGAGAAGAGGGTGGGTGTTGTACAAGCATGGTCTAGTAAATCTTTAACAGTTTGTTTTTTTTTGCTTACCTGACTTCTTCCTATGATCACTCCTTTTGCCTCTCTCACCCATAATCTACTCTTCCCATCTCTCAGTTCCTACATTATAAGGCTTCTCCATTAAATCAATTATCTTCCCCACCATTATTCCATAACTTACTTGTCAACTATAATAGGCATAGAAACACTCCATACGGAAAAACTAAATGATCAGTTTGGTAGTAATAAGTACAAGAGTCATTAGAGGATGCTAGAAAACCTAAAGATAAATAAACACCCCCTTAAATGAAAAATTACCTAGGCCACAATGCACTGATCACAAATCACTAATTGGCAGTGGGCTGATCCCATGATACTACATTTCAATATCAGTCATCCAAAACAATGTTCAGCAGGGAGCAAGGAGAAATGAACTAACCTCCACAATGTCAATGGTTTAATTTTCTAGAATTACATGAAGAACTCTATAGCAAATTAATATTGGACAAAGTTTAACATATAATATAAAAAAAATCTAATATTTTCATTTATTATATCATTTGGTTCTCCAAATCTTACTACTTCCCTTAGCAACTAACAATTAAAGAGGAAAACAAAAATCGCATAAAAAAATTGCAACATTTATGACACATTTGGACACACTTCAACAAAGTTACCCACATTACTACAAGGCTGGATTATTTATATTACTCTTAATTTTGTGGCCGTCTTGCTAAATGAGGGTTTCATATTTTCTCTCTATGATCAATGGGGTTTCTTTGGCATGAAACATCAAAGTAGGGAGCCTATGTAAAGTAAACTTCCTAAATAGACCACACTTTTTTCGGCTTTTTTTTATCTTCACTCAGGCCACTCCTGCATCCCCACTTGCTATAATCTCTTTAGGCATTAGTGACACAAACAAAGAAGTCAATCATATGACCTAGGTTACATATGTCTATTAATTAATATCATGAGAAAACTTTCTAATTTAATCTATCTCATGAAATCCCATTTAATTATTTATATACTAGTGGAAAAATGAGTTCATATCTTTCTGAGATCCATATTCCACACGTGTTGCATGCCAAATCTATAAAATCTACAGCTGTATTATCTCTTTTTTAAAAAAATGAATTTATTCTTTAAGAAACTTATTGAATCATATGAAAATTTCCCTAGAATCTAAAGACCTGATCACCAAATTGGCAAGGAAGACTTATGAACACATCATAGGGGATAACATTACAGAAATGCAAAAATAGAAAAATTAGCCTACTTAAGTACATTTGTATCAGTGCAAATCAACATATGCCTCAGGTAGTTTAAGGAAGATCCATGGCATGAATCATCCCGATCTTCAACTCTTGAGGCTGAATTACATGTGATCTAAATGATTGTCCATGTAATCATTCAAATATAGATTGCAACATGGATTTTTTAAACCTTAATCCCACCCATAAAAGTTAAACTAAGAAACTCATCTGAAACTATAATCCAATCAATCTATATGATGCTTATTTCCTTAGTATGAAGAATGAAAGTTATCACTAGAGGATATTGAAAAGCACACGTTACAAAAAATATAGATAAAAATAAGAAATCAAGTTGAAATGTCCAAGACATTTATTTGCAAGAAATTGCAAGGTAAATAATCAGGTAGTGCATTTTAAGATTGAAATAAGGACTCCAAAATATCACACAACAAACATAGGGAATAAAAATAGCTTAAAGCTGAAAATAGAAATTAATTGGGAGTACCTTCCTTAAACTGCAGCAACAAGATTCTTAGTCAAAGCTACCCCACCAATCTGAAAGATTGAAAAGTCGTCACTAAATCCAGACTAATGAACTTCAGCACGTCCCAACAATTAGTAATTTCAAATGTTGGATATCATAATGAGATCATAGACATAATCAGCATGTAAATGAGAGACCAGCTGATATTATCATTGCAGCCAAAGGAGAGAATTTCTTTGTCTGCTCCTTCAGACAAGAGAAGTATCTACCTGTTTGACAACCTCTGGCAACTGCTACATTCTCTTACGATCAGATGTGAACTCTAGAGTATCCAGCAGCTCATACCGAACAGTTGAGGCATTGAAATTTACTTCTGTAAAAATAAAAAGTTTTAAGAATAAGCACCTAAGTCAAAGATAAACAACAAAAATCTATAGTAAGACACATCAAAGTGAAATAAATTAATAAATACTTCTAAAAGAGCCATCAGGCAGCAAAAGGTGTGCCTCAAAAGGTTTATTGAGAACATTTTCATTTCTATTTACAAGAACCATATGCAATTGAGCAGCAGCATTGACAAGTGCATCTTTATCTTGAGATTGGGCTATGTAGGAGATTTCTCCACTAGGACTTTGAGCAACAAGATGTTCTTACTCAATAGAAACAAAGATAGTTATATCTAGTGCACTTACTAGTTCTATGCTATCAGAGAGTTATATCACCTTTTAGTGGGTAGAAAATTATTGTAAATTGACATGACTGTAAGAAATCTGACAACATCAGGGACATTGTTGACATCATCATTAAACAATTCACCATCTATCTAGAAAAGAAAATTTGTTAGAATAATAAAGCATTTGGAGTATGATGAAAATTATCCAATTTGAATTATGAAATATGCATGACGTAAAGAAACAACTTGAATCAAATGAAGAGATTAATATTTCTATACATATGCCTAATGAAATAATATGACTCAAATGAGGAGAATAATACATATCCAAACTATTACATGCTTTAAAGTAGTAAAACACATCACATGGTATATGAGAAATTTTACCTTGTCATGGTCTTCTAGAAACCTTGAATAGACTAAAAAGAAAAAAATTGATACTGAGAGAGAAAAATGATTGGGCCATCACAAGAAAATGTAACAAACACTTTGCAAGCGTGGTGAGAAAAGAGGAAAAAAAGAGCAAGCTCACTTTCTACCTTTTAGTACCAACATACTTCATTCCTCATTCAATCCATTTATGACTTGGGGCAAACAAACATCTAACAAAAGTCAAAGAAGAATGTCTTGGCCACGGTGAAACAATAGTTAAAAAAATGATCAAAACTATAATTACTCTCAAGTGAAAATAATAGAGATTTGAATCGGTCAAAACCTTGCATATTGCCACGCTTCTGATTTAAGCTTCACAAAAATCATAAAAAATAATGTCCTCTTGATTCTATATTGAATTCTCACATTTAATAACAAAATTATTGACTCAAAATAAATTTTTCAAGGAATTACAACGATAGGACACAAGTTAGAAAATCAAGCAACAATTTCTCAAAAATAGCATGCAGATTAGGCAATAACTTATGAAGTGGATTCTATAATCTATTATGACACTTTTCATTTGATGTGTCAAATTTGACATTACTTAATGTGACATTTATCATCATTTTACTTAGATTAACATGTAAAATGACAAATTAACATCCACATTACTTAAATCATTACTAATCTCTTGGTGGTACTCATAAGAATTCAAATTCGAACTAATAATGATTGAAAATCTCATGTTTAAAGGTAAGATAAATTATAACTAAACCTTTTTACCTCATACATGCCTCAAATTGCAACAACAAGTATCAAGGGTGAATTTTATCTCAATTGTGCAAACACTCCTCAAGATTGCATTCAAATTTTCATCTTTATATCAATGCAAAGTCAACACTTTTAATTAGTAAATATCACCCAGTAGATATTTGAAAACTCTATCTAGCACTCAAGAATGTTTTCCATTCTATTAACACAGTCTTTTATTTATAGGGAGGATGAACAAGCAATTCTCCAATCTAAAAACTCAATTTTTGGAGCTTCACTCTGTCTCCTTTTTGTTTATTTCTTTCTTTCATATGTAGACAGGTAGCTTTTTCCTCACGGGTTTTTGTTTTTGACGAGAGGAGAGTGGATAAGCACTTCCCCTGTCTAAAAGCCCGATTTTTGGAGCTTCACTCTGTCTCCTTTTTGTTTATTTCTTTCTTTCATATGTAGACAGGTAGCTTTTTCCTCACGGGTTTTTGTTTTTGACGAGAGGAGAGTGGATAAGCACTTCCCCTGTCTAAAAGCCCGATTTTTGGAGCTTCACTCTGTCCTTTTTTTTCCTTTCTTTCTTTCATACATAGATAGGTAGCTTTTTCCTCACATGCCTTTTTACTGACGAGAGGAGAGTGGATAAGCACTTCCCCTGTCTAAAAGCCTGATTTTTGGAGCTTCACTCTATCTTTTTTTTTTCTTTCATATATAGACAGGTAGCTTTTTCCTCACGGGTTTTTGTTTTTGACGAGAGGAGAGTGGATAAGCACTTCCCCTGTCTAAAAGCCCGATTTTTGGAGCTTCACTCTGTCTTTTTTTTTCTTTCTTTCTTCCACATGTAGACAGGTAGCTTTTTCCTCACGAGCTTTTTCATGGCAAGCTTTTGACCTCTCCCTATGATTACTTTGACTGAGGAATTTAGAACTTCAATCATCTTGAAATGTTCAATAGACTCTCAATACCTACTGGGTGATATCTACTAAAATATAAAGAGTAGATCTCGCAAATTCAATTTCATGAAAAATTTAATATGCACTTGAGGAGTATTTTCACAATCATTTTATTATTTCAAACCATGTAGCTAACCATAATTGTCCAAACATGGTCTAAATGCAAGTAATATATTAATTTGTCTTCTTATATTCATGAGCACTATGTTGTACAACTATAATACATGGAAAAGATAAAAAAAAAAAATCAGAAATTATTACAAGCAAGAAGCTAGAGAGAGAATATTATCGAAACATAAAAGAAATAACTATGACAGTGATTCGGATGGTAAATGCAGGCTTGAGTATATATAATGTTTCACATGGAGTTCAATTTCCTTTCGATCATATCATATAAAAAAAAGGGAATGTCCACCTGCACTTCAAATTTTAAAATTGAACCAGGCTGATCATTTTAAAACGTAAGAATATTGATGCCTAATTATATGCAATATATGTATGAGAGAGAGAGAGAGAGAGAGATCGCAACGATGTTAGATTCTTGAGAGCGGGACCACATACTGAGTAGAGCACGATGATGTGGGTCATCTTCTCGTCATAGAGATTGCCGAGGCCAAGGTCGGAGATTTTTGGGTTTACATCAGCGTCGAGGAGCACGTAGCTGGGCCTCATGTCCCTGTGGACGGTCCTCAACCGCAACTCCTCGTGCAGGTACAGCAGCCCCCTCGCCGTCCCGACGCAGATCTCGTACCACGCCGCTCACTCCAGCTGCAACCCTCCGCCGCTCCTCCCTGCAACTCCGACGGTGGCGGCGCCCACCAGCCGCTTTTCGGTTCCGTAAACAGAAAAGAAAAACAAGAAAAGAAAAACAAGAAAAGAAAAGAAAAGGAAAGAATGAAGGAAGGAAGGAAGGAAGGAAGGAAGGAAGGAGGAGGTGATTAGGTTGCTTCACGGACACCCTCCTCCCGTCGAAGAGCTTCCCCAGCGGAAGGCGAACAGGCCACGGCAATGTGCTTCTTCTTTTTCCTCTCTCCTTTCTCCTTTTTCCCTCTTTTTCTTCGGTCTTCCGCTCCTCTCTCCCGTCGGGAACTGTTAAGATGGTTCACGGTGGACCTGCGGATGGGGCAACGATCACGGTGGATCGGCCAAATCGGGCGTTGGATCGGGCAAAGCCGCGGATCAAGACGGTTCGGCGGATCAGCGGACCGCTTTTGGGGGGAAAAACCGGAGCCTCTCCTCCCCTCCCCCCCTCTTTCTGTCTCTCTCCCTCTCCCCCCTTCTCTCCCTCTCTCTGTGTCTCTCTCTACGCCTCTGTCTCTGTCTCTGTCTCTCTCCCTCTCCCCCCTCTCCCTCTCTCTGTGTCTCTCTCTCCGCCTGTCTCTTTCTCTCCCTCGTGTGTCCTTCTGAAACCGTGAGAACGTCGAGGAGATGGGCATCAACCGCCAGAACGGCTTCGTGTGGCTCGGCCAGAAGAAGGCCTGGTGGGGCAACCGTCTCAGCCCCATCATTGGAAGGGTCGGCGCCACCACAGGAGGGGAAGACCAGCACAGGAGTCATTCCACGTCGACATCGTCAACCTAGGATCCAAGATCCGAATTTTATTTATTATTAGGATTTTCTTTTCATTTAGTTTCCTTTAACGAATTCTTGACCCTATAGATAGGATTACCGCTGTAATAAACGGTTTTGGTGGTGGATTTTGAAAATTTAGACATTATTTTCAGAATTTGCCCTAAGGTTTCCTCTCAGCCGCCGCCGCCGCCGCTGAGAGGCGATCCTCCTACGCCCGTCCGCCCATTACGAGCACACGACTCCCCCTTCCACCCCCCCACCCCCCCGTGATCCACCATTCGAGAGCGAACATCCAGTTTCTCTCGCCGCCGATTGCACTGTCCGCCCTCTGGCGCATTGTTGTCTACCAACGGCTGTAGACGACAACATTCACGTCGGCGAGTGTTGACTCGTCGTGAGGCCCCGCTTTCAGGTCGTCGGCAGCCGACGCAGCCATACGCCCTCAGCCGACTCACGCGTGATTCTTCCCCGCCGCACGACTGTCCATTGCCCTCTCGCGCGACGATTCCAGCAGCCGCCCGTTTCGCCACGGGAGCATCGAGGTCCTCCATCGGGCGAGTGCGCAGAATCAACCTCCGGTTTAGGTTTCGGGGCGTTGCCCCGAACCCTGCTTTTGGATTTAAAAAGTGAGGTCTGATGCCTGAGAATCCTATCCACATCAGGGCTAGGGGAGAGTCAACACCAGCAGAGAAAAATGGTGACCACCAAAAAGTGTTCATTGCCTCCTTTATTCCTTTATGATGTTCTAGAGGGTTCTACTCCATATAAATCTAAAGTTTGAATTCATCTCAAATTTAATTATGATGTGTCATATGTCTAACGCTCCTACAAAGATGCTCCCTTCTAACTTTCTCAGCCTTATAAGTTCATCTCTAATGGTAATCAATAGTGGCCTGTTTATGCTATATTTTCCTATCATATCGTCTACAAATGATTCGGCTAACTATTCAATCTCATCTTCCATGAATTCTATTGTGGGTATACCTTCCTGAATGTAGTGTGGTTTTTATGATTTAGTCTAAATATATTATGGGTCGATGTGCTCATTCCATGTTATCTTTGCATATATCATAGAAGAGGTAGAATTTGCATATCTTGTGGTCTGTTTGTGAACTGAGTTAACATTCAGTGATGCTGAGATTGTACTGTTATCATTAACTAGATTGTCATCGACATTCGATTTAGTACCCTCCCTATTTGTTTTTATAGTTTGTTTGTTCTTTTGAGTGATTTTATGCATTTGTTTAGTGGACACTACATCTACAATTGAACAAAACTGTAAATTATTCTACGAATTTAAATTAAGTTTGTCATGTATCTACGCCTTTGAAGTTTGAGTTTCCTTCAAAGTTTCCTACTTCCTTGATGCATCTCCTTTTTCATTATAATGTGGAGTAGGAGTTTGTGCTTCCAATATTTGGTTGGTCTTCATGTTGTCTTTTGCAATTGATTCTCTTCTACTTTTATTTCTGTTTTCTCTTTATTCCGCAAACTCTTCTACAATGCGATGTGAGGCATTCTTCTCCCTCTTCGTTTCCTTCATCTTCCATCTCCATTGGTAATATGATATTTTCTTTTGTACTCCCATCCTCATGCTTATCTTCATTCTGAGTATTCTTTCCAAATCCTTTTCTCTTATCGTTTTCAATGATCTGCTCTAATCTCCCCTTTGTATACTTGCTTGCTTGAGCTGGTTCTATATCTTAGGATCATTGCCTCCTGCCCTTTGTAAATTTCCTGATTTGATTTGTTTAGTATAAGTTGATCCTCCCCCCCAACTGTAAGTGATCTCCTTCGTTTTCTTGGCTTCTTATTTTCTTTGAAGTAGTCTTGTCTAATTCCTTTTCAATGATATTTTAAGAAGCTTTTGCCACTTCATTTGTTATGCTCAGCAGGTTACAAAGCCTGAATAGATGTGATGTTTCATGTTGGGCTCTCTACTACTTGACATGTTCCAATTGCAGCCAATTATCTTCTTCCTCCATTAATTCTTCTTTATCTCCTGAATCATTTTCCTGCACCATCTCTTTACTCATCTAGAAATCCCACCCTTGTTAGTTAGATGCATTGTCCTCATTTGAGGTTTCTTCAACTATTTTCTCACTTATATCTAACGCAGATTTGTCATCCTCTGAATGGTTGTTTTCACTAGAGATCTCTAGGCTATTTATTTCTGCCCCTATATTTCTTTTCTGTAGAGCACTATCAAAAGTTTTATTTTACATTTGATGCTCTATTCCATCTCTTTTCTTTTGGGTAGTCCACCATGATTGGGTTTGTCCCCAACATGCCTACATGCTCTTTTCCTTCTCGGCCCCAAATTTTCTCCTGTTGGAATCTTTCATTCCTTGTCAAAGAGTTGAGTCTACCACTTCTTTGAATAACTTTGGTTGAGGCTGAGTGGGATTTCTTTCTACTACCCATTTTTGTTATAGGTAGCTATTTGGGCAACCTTCCTTAGTCTTCTCTGGTTTAGTCCCCTTGCTTTCAGAGCCTATAAGACTTAAGAGAGGGAAAAAAATAGAAACCAAGAAATTAAGCTAAACTTACTTTGATGGGGCCACTTGCTATCTTCTGTAGCTCTTGCACCCTCTATTGCACACCAATAGTGCCATGTTATGACAGAGACCACTTGCTGCCATCTGCCTTTGTTCATGTGGCTGACTGATGCTATTCCCCTTCCATGTTTCTATTTCCTCTTCATGCACCCTTTGTCGCTTTCCAATAGTTTATGCCTTTGCACTTTAACTCATAATCAATACGACCCTTTCTAGTGTTAGGAACCACTTTCAGCAATGTTAGAGCAGCATGAAGGCCTTTGGAATCTCCAATGACCCACCTCCTAGCTTCCTGCTCTCTTCTGCTCACTACTCAGCACCTCAGGAACCCTCTATGGGAACATTTAATATATGTAACCTTCTCATGTTGGCTGTGTCTAGGATTGCCTGACCACCTCACACGAAACCCTCAGGACTTGACCATCGAGATAAATACTGATAGCTCACCCAAGCATCATCTTCTCCTCTAATTCCTCCTCTCCCCCCCCCCACCCTCCGGGGGTAGTGGTCTCCCCCTCCTTGGAGCCATTGGAATCACTTGAGCTCGAGGAGATATAATATTTTTTTCACAAATAGGTTTTTTTTTTGGGTTTGGGGTTCAAGATCTATGGTCTTAAGGTTTAGGGTTTATTTTAGTTTTTTGGTTAAAGTCTTGTGTATTCTAAAAAGAAAGCACATACAACCATCTATCGCTATATTCTTCGACACATGTGACTATGGTCTAGTAATAAGGGGGGCACTTCTCACTTCTCTCCTTGAGTTTGATTGGCATTCAACTGTTTGAGAATTGGTCGATGACTAGTAGTTTAGTTGGTTTACTTGGACTTGGGGTTAGACTGCCCATTGCTAGTCCAACTTCAAACTTGCCTGGTAGGCTAACTAGGGGATACACGTAACCTCTTCACCGCTTTGCTTCTGGCCATGAGGAATGGGTTTTGGAGTGTGCTTAAGATTTTGGGTTTAGGATTTCAAGTTTTTAGTTTAGGTTTAGGGTTTAGGGGTGTGGGTTTCGGGTTTTGGGGTTTCGGGATAAGGATTTAAGGTATAAGGTTATGGGTTATGTTTTTATAATAAGGAAAATCCTATTGATGAATGATCCCAAGATACACTATTGGGGTCAAACTTGTGCATACATGGTTTTGTAGTAGACGTAAGTACCACATTAGTTTGCTGAGTGGGGAATTGGTGGCCTTGTTTACCTATGAATTAGTCTAGGGGGCTCCTTTTGGGCTTGGCTTTGTGCTTCTCATTTGTTGGGCCTTTTTGATTCGGCCCATATGTAGTCTATTGTGATGGATTGAACCCTATTTCTTTTTTTTTATCAACTTTCTCTTCTTGGGCTTTTCTTTTGTAGGCTCACATGACTAGGATAAGTCAATCATGCACTTTGAGGTTTTATGCTTCTCAATGATTCTTGGTCTGTAAGAGGACCACCAGCGAACTAGGTGAAGACAATTATATTTTCTTAATACCAACTTGGCCAGTGGTCATTTTAACGGTTTTTGTCGCTTCTCTTTTGTGGTTGGGAAGACCATCCCTCTAGTTCATTTCCATAGCTTAAGATTGTTTTGCTTTTTGTCTCTACTCCTTTATCTCCATTCTTCTCCCTTAGACATGCATATGACATCAAGTTCTCCCACAACATATGGTAATAAAAGTCTGATTTGTTATATCATAAGGCATGATTTGTCCATGATTTTGTATAGTTTCAATATGATTATTTTTCTCAAGGATGTCAATTACTTTCTTCCTTTTAATTCTTACCTCTCTTCCCCTTCCCTTTTTTTTATATCCTTCCAGCTCGCTTCCACA